ACACACACACACACACACACACACACACACACACACACACACACACACAAGAATATTGCTCAGCCTTTATTAAGGAGGAAATGCTATCATTTGTGACAACATGGATGAACCTGGAGGACACTGTGCTAAGTGGAATAAGCCAGACCCACAAAGGTGAATACTATATGAAATCCTCTACATGTGAAATCTAAAAAAAATCTGGTAAATTTGAATTTATAGAAGCTGGGGTAGAACAGTATTTACCAGAGGCTGGGGGGTGGGGAAAATTAGAAGATGTTGGTCAAAGGATACAAAGTTTTAGTTACACAGGATGAATAAGTTCTGGAGATCTAATGTACAGCATGGTAGCTGTACTTCATAATTGCTGTTTTTTGAAATTTGCTAAAAGAATAGATCTAAGGGTCCTATCACAAAAAGAAAGGTAACTATATGAGGTGATGAAATGCTAGTTAGCTTGATTATAGTAATCATTAGCCATTTAACAACACATACATATATGAAAACATCCTTGTTATATCCTCTTGGTGAACTGACCTGTTTATCATTACCTAATAATTTCTTTGAGGCTTGCAACACTTTTTTAATGAAAGTCTATTTTGTATAAGTATGGCCACCCCTGCTTTCTTTTGGTTACCATTCTCTTTCTAACCCTTGATTTTTAGCCTATATGTGTCCTTTGAGCTACAGTAAGACTTTTGTGGGCTGCATATATTTGGCTCTTTTTAAAATCCATCCAGCTTCTCTATGACTTTTGATGAAGATAGAATTGATTTTTATAGAAATCAATTCTTGAAAATTAAAGAATTACTGTTGCCATTTTTCTTTTCTGGCTGTTTTATAGCTCCTTTGTTTCTTTCTTCTTTTCTTGCCATTTTCTCTTATGATCTGATTATTTTTTAAAAATACTGCTATGCTTTGATTCCTTTCTCTTTATACTTTGCATAGCTACTATAGATTTTTGTTTTGTGGTTACCAAAATGTTTATATAAAATATCTTATAGATACAACATCCATTTTAAGCTGATCAATTTTCTTTGAATACAAAAACTCTAAGCTTGCTTCTTATTTATGTTATTGATGTCACAGTTTATGTCTTTTTATATTGTGTGTCCATTAACAAATTATTACAACTGTACTCACATTTAATACTTTTTCTCTTATACTATTACAGTGTTGAGTGTTCCAAGTTTCACTATATACTTACTTTTACATATGAGTTTTATATTTTGGTATGTTTTCATGTTGCTAACTAGTGTCTTTTTATTTCAACTCGAAGAGCTTCCTGTAGCATTTCTTTTAAGGAAGGTCCAGTGGAATAACTCTCAGCTTTTGTTTGTGTGGGAAAGTCTTTATCTATCTTTCATTTCCAAAGGATAGCTTTTCCAAATAGAGTATTCTTGGTTGTGTCAGAATTTTTCCCCCAGCACTTTGAGCACTATTATTTCCCTCTCTCCTGACCCACAAGGTTTCTTCTGAGAAATTTCCTGATTGCCTTATGCTGTTCCCTTGTATGTCACCAGTGACTTTTCTCTGTTTTCACAATTTTCTCCTTGTCTTTGATATTGTTATTAGAGTGTGTCTTGGGGTACTCCTCCATGGGATGATACTATTTAGAGACTTCTGAGCTTTGTGAACTTGGATGCTCATATCACTCAAGGATTTGGAAAGTTTCCAATGTTACTTCTGTAAATAAGATTTTTCATTTTTTCTCTTTGTCTCTACTCTTTCATGACCTCCTGGCAGGCATATATGGGTCCATTTAATGACTCAAAAAAAATCCCATAGGTTTTCTTCACTCTTTTTCATTTTTTTTCCTTTTTCTCTTCTGATTAGTTTCAAATTATGTTTTGTTTATGACTCCACAAATACTATCTTCTCTTACTATTTTTTTCCTTCCAACATTTACTTCCTTCAGGGCAAGGAAGAACCACAAACACAGTCTCTTGTCTTTACTAAGTTCCTCAACTTTAACCACTGTGGAAAATTTGGTCTGTTGTCTTTTCTTTAACTTATTTACATAGCCATACCACATTGCAGGACCTAGAAAAATAATCCCAACACATATATAGCATTGTTTGCCTAAGCCAGCAAACCAAAAAGATCAGATCGAATTTATTTCAGGGATGCAAATGAAGCTTCAGTTTCCCATGCAAATCAACAAAGAGGTGTTTGTGGAAATGAGGTTAAAAAAAAAAATATATATATATATATATATACAGATATATATATATATATATATACACACACATACACACACACACACACACACACATCTCCCTATAGTATATATTTTCCTTATTTATCTTTTCTGGGGAGGCACGGACAGAATATAAATATAGTAAAATCTAATGAGTTCAGATTCCCCTCATTTGTAACTGCTGTAATTCAAGCAAGAGGACAGGTATGATGTTTAAACTTTACAATATTTCCCTTTTTAGTGTTTATTTAAAAGAAGGAAATGTTTTTAACTAACATCAAGCATTTTATATGCTACTCTTACATACACTTATTTCACACTTTAGAGATAGATTTATATCTATACATAAACCTTAATTAAAGCTCATTAAGTAGATTCAACTTTGGGTCTAATTACTGATAGTACTTGAAATTATTTAGGTGGCATTTCAAAGAAATCTCCCATGATCTCAACTTTTCAGTAACCAGGGCTAGTTTTCCAGATTTTGCAATTTAGTCAGACTGAACTAATATTACTTTCTGTTGAGGAACCTGGTGGGTGACCAGAACATAGAATCTAGAGCCAGACTGCCTGTGGGCAACACTTGGTTTTCCACCTACAGTATCTGTGACCTCTTAGGCAAGTGATTTATATACCTCTGTACTTCAACTTCCTCATCTGTAAAGTTCTGTAACAGTACCTCTTCTGTAGAGTTACCTCTCTTAAATGAGTTATGCCTTTAAGATGCGTGGACCATACTAATCACTATACACCTTTTTATTCCCCACAAATGAACAATTAAAACTCATTAGATTTGTTTTAATTTCCTTTAGAACTGCATGAAATTTAAGTCATCAACATCTACCTGTACCTACTTCTTAGGTTCTTACAGTAGTTTCTACAGTGTATCCACAATTATGGTTTTTGGGAGGACTTATTGTAGTATTATGTGTTAATTTGTTATCTATTAAATTTCAAGTGGTATTGGGGGAAATCACATACAATTAACACATTAAAGAGCAATGGGAGTAGGCAAAGCCCAAACTTGTGTGTTGTGGAAGGTCACCTGGAGGCACCAACATCACAGAGGAGACCAGGAATATGGGTAACCTCAGGTCTCCAGGTCTCCTGAGGATAATATTCTCCTGGAACATGAAGATCAGGAGAATGCTACTGTCACTGGACCCTACTGAGGTCCTCCCAGGCACATGAGCTCTGTGGGTTCCTAAGGCTGCTGGTCATGTGGATGTTGGATCTTGTGGACAATAGTTATGTGGCAGGTCCAGCTGTACCTGTCATGTCAGCACCATGGGCTCTTAATTTCAAAAGGTCATGTGGTCTCTTTGGCCTTGTTGCCACCACAGTCATGTGGTAGATCCAACTCTTTAAGCCACTAGAGCATCATGGACTCCTAAACCCTGCCTATCACATGGATCCTTCTCTCATGTAACCCTTAATTGTTACCAGCATGTTAAATCTTCAGCCCTTGATGTCACATAAATGACCTATTGCTTAGGGTCATGTAGATGCTATGGTCATGTATACCTCCCCCTGCCATGGTACATGTCAAGCTCAGCCGCCTCTGTCATGTGAAGATTGTGGGCTATAAAACTCTGAAGATCCATGTGTAGGCAACAGTGTGGTTCTTACCACATGTAGAACACAAAGCTCTTGCAGTCATGTGAGCCATGCAGCTACCTTATCACTATTGGCCATGTGAATCCTATGGTCGTGCTCCTGGATAGAGTCACATGAGACTCAGTTCTCTTGGTCATGTGAAGATTGAGGGCCGCTGAACTGTGTGGTGGGTCAGATGGTCCCTGGGGTCATGTGACACACAAATGTCCACCCTTTAAGTGTGTGTGGAGTATTCTGAACTATTGCTGGCTTATCCTTGCAAGAAGTCAGTCTGATAGGTTCAGAGGACCTTTAGACCTGCAGTCTGCACCCTGGCTCAGGGTGATGAGACTCTGGCTCAGATCCCAACCTTTCCATTAACTTTTATATCCTGCCTTAGTGGGTGATACTTGGGTAGGGGGAGTGCCAGAAGGTACTAAAAGTTTATCCAGAGGAGGTTGGAGAGGAGGCAGCCAAACACCCTCAGGTCAAGGCCTGGCCAAATGGTCTGAGAAAGGGTTGGGTAGAGGCTGGGGAAGGACTTCTGAATGTGGCCTGACTTTTGTACACCTGGAAGAGAAAGCCTATGGGTGTGTGTGAGACCTGATCCTGGACTCAGGGGAGTTATTGTCTGTAGAGAATGAAGTGGAGGAGGAGAATGTCCTGCATTAGAGAGTGGGGTGGTAGGGAGGGGGCAGCAAGGATTCATGGACTTGTCTGTCATCTCTCAGTAGCAGGGCTCTGGAAGCTATGAGGGAGCCCCCTTCCCTGCTCTCACACTAAAGCCCTACCCCTGCTATATGGGGTGCCTGCTATATTCATTGTCTGTACAGTGTGACAGCCTCCTCTGCTGTCTTCGACCATGTTGTTATTAAAGACAACAAAGACCTCCCAGACGCCAATTTGTCTAGAGGACTCCAAATCTCATCTTAATTTCTGCCTCTTATTTGATTTTGTAAGATTCTCTATACTCCTTTGATATATTTCCCCAGCAAGCGTTCTACGCATGTGCTCAGAGAAGTAACAAAGGAGAACTAGAGGGAGATGGAAAAGAGAGGAGGGAAGTAGGGAGAGAAAAAAGGGAAGGAGGGAAGACAGGAAAGAGAGAAAAAGAGGGAAGGAGAGAGTTTATTTTCAAGAATGTGTTATTTCAGGGGCACCTGGGTGGCTCAGTGGGTTAAGCCTCTGACTTCAGCTCAGGTCATGATCTCAGGGTCCTGGGATCGAGCCCCACATCAGGCTGTCTGCTCAGCAGGGAGCTTGCTTCCCCTCTCTCTCTGCCTGCCTCTCTGCCTACTCGTGATCTCTCTCTCGGTGTCAAATAAATAAATAAATTTTTTTAAAAAAGAATGTGTTATTTCAGGAAAGTGTCAAAGTAACCATGATCTAAAGATTTGTACTTTATTTCTTATATTTAGTTTGAAGTTCAGTAGTTCTACAAAGTACATCTGGAAGTGGGGTGACAATCTTTTTGTGCTTAGGGTCTCTAAATGGCTTAAAGTAGTTTAGCCAGGCACAAATAATTTCTGGTGCCCCCTCCTCCCAATTTTCTAACCTTTGCTTCTTAGATTCCTTGTTGAGAATCCTCTTCTTTCCCTCACTCAAAAAATAATAGTGAATGGATTTAAGAAAACACCAGGTGAAATCATTGGTGATACTCACATTTGGTACATCATGAAGGTGATACTGAATGAGTAAAGAGGGACTAATAATAAGATTGTGCTTACATTTATAGGATATTTAAATATTTCTTGACACATGACTCCGGATATTGTCACTTATGATAGTTCATATTACATGTAGCTTAAATAATCCACTTTCTTTTTCTCTCATTGCAGCATTTCCAAGTTTGTTCGTCAAAACACAAGGGCAAAGAAACAGCAACAACAAAAAATGTGCCCTATTTTGGAGAAGTGTGAAGCATAGTGTGGGACTGTATGGTAAGTAAATTTCCATACTGTAGGACTTTTAAAAATTATTATTTTTAATTTTTTTAAAGATTTTATTTATTTGAGAGACAGAGAGAAGGAGAGAGAGAACATGCAAGTGGGGGAAGGGCAGGGAGAAAAAGAAGCAGACTACCTGCTAAGCAGGGAGCCAGATGCAGGGCTCCATCCCAGGACCCTGGGATCATGATCTGAGCCAAAAGCAGACAACTGATTGAGCCATCCAGCCCCCCACAGTTTATTTTTAAAGATAATGCACTAATATGATAGGAATCTCAAAGTTTTTCATTCCTCAGAAATAACCCCAGTTTCTAAGCATGTTTCTGATAGCGTGGTGGCTGAAGAAAAAATAAGTAAATAAGTACAAATCATTAAGAAGTCTTATCTATAGAAACAAATATAGTGCCCCCTCTAGAAAGCAACATACAACTTAACTGTTAGAGTCAACAGACATAATACTTCTCATTTTATACAAATATGCCACACTTAAAAAAAACAGTTTTGAAATTATCATTTAATAATTATAGCTGCCATGTTTTGAGTCCCTATTATATGTGAAATACCAAAATAATTTTTTCATATATGTTAACTAATTTACCCCTCAGAAAAATCCTGAGAAGGTATTATTTTAATTAACGGATGAGATATGTGAGTCAGGAGAGGCTGGGGTTTTGCCATTGAAATAGATAATCCCTACATCAGTGGCTTATTTCTCACTCCTTTTAGATGTCCACGGCAGGTGCACATCCACCACAAGCTGGTGCATGTTGGCAGCCTGATGATTCTTACTGGAATGACTTGGCCACTCGAACTGACGGATCAGTCACCATCTAGAAAGTTGTCAGTTACCATGCCTGAGAAGTCGTCTCTGGGTGGTTTCAAACCAACAACCATATATTCTGTCCCAGAAATAACACATGTCACTCCCAGCCCATTAACTAGAGCTACTTACATACATGGCCTTGTGTAAACTAAGGGGTTCAGACAAGAAGTGCAATTCTCACAGGTGCCTGGAACAGGGCAGAAATGGAAACACTTGGCAAACACCACCACTGACTACTGCATGATCGAACTGAAACTCTGAGAGTTTGAGTATATGCATAAAATCACATAAGCAATAAGTGACAGAGCCAAGATTTGAATCCAGAGAAGTATGCTTTTAAAGTCAATGATCCTTCCATGCTCTTTTCTACTTTGGCTGGTATCCCTTTTTTTTTTTAAGATTTTATTTATTTATTTGACAGAGAGATCACAAGTAGGCAGAGAGGCAGGCAGAGAGAGAGGGGGAAGCAGGCTCCCCACTGAGCAGAGAGCCCAATGTGGGACTTGATCCCAAGACCCTGAGATCATGACCTGAGCCAAAGGTAGAGGCTTAACCCACTGAGCCACCCAGGTACCCACATGCTATCCTTTTAAATGAAGTTCACATATATTTATAATAGAGATGCCATTACTTGAATGCTGCAATTCCCTCTTCCTCATTCATCTGATGTTCCAGCAGAGGGATTAAATAGACATGACAGTCTTGGTTGAGAACACCAGCATTGATGTTCTACAGTCTCTTACAAATAAAAGAATGTATTGGATATTTGAATGCCCATTATATTCAAGGATAAAAAGGAGACAAAGATAACTCATATGACTGCTTCTTTTAAGCATCACACTGCATCTCCTAGGCAGTACAGTAAGCCAAAAACATGCATGTATGCATACATACATACATTAATAAATGTGTACAAGTGAAAATAAATCTGTCACAATGGTATGGCTATCTTCATGTAAATTCAAGGGACGCTATAGAAAATTAAATTAATAGGCTTTAGTAAGTTAGTTCGGTGTAAGACTAATATACACAAAACAATTGTAACAAATAGAAAATGCCATTTTCATTCTGAATAGACCATTTACCATAGCAAAATTTATAATGTTCTGCCAAACTATGAATTGGCTCCCTTGGCAACTATCCCAACACTCATAAAGGCTCTTGTAAGCTTTCTTATTCTATAGAGACTAGAAAGCTAAAAACATGAAGGGGAATGTGTGTGTATGCATGCACGTGTGTGTGCACGTGTGTGTGCATGTGTGTGTGTGTGTGTGTGTGTGTGTGTGACACACATACACATTAACCAGAGCCCCTTACAGCTAGGGTGCTAAATGGGATATCAGTTGTATCATGCATATGCACCATCCTGGACTTAGAGCTGTAACTGAATGCCATAGGAGCCACATATGGCTCAATTACATGGTCAGCTATCTATAATGGGAGAGGTTTCGGTTTTTTGTGAAGCAACCATAGCAGAGTGCCTAGAATTCAGTTTCTGTCATACATGTCAATTAGCAGGCAAGCAGCAGTGGTGTTTCAACTATAACAGACCTGCAGCATGAGTGGCTTCCCATGACTGTACTGCATACAGACTTGCTTTTCTGGCCCCTGTAGAGTTTTTGTAAGCCATGTAATATATTTTATTAAAGATGTCTCATTTTTATAAAATAGTTAGAGTGAATTCTAGTGCAGGCAAGTAGGAACCTTGATTAGTAGAGTACTTGAAACCAAAATGGGTTGTAAGCAAATGGCCCTGAAAAAAAATGGGGATCTGGGATGGGTTATCTGACCTAGGTGGATCTGAAGATGGTGAGAATCCAACTGACATTAGAAGATAAAATACTGGTATTCTATGGTACATGATGGTGAAAGAGTTGCTGAGTTTTCACCCATGGTCACATGAATTGAAATGCCTTTGATATAAATGTGTCAGTGAAACAAGCAGATGCTTTTAGGGACTCAGAGGACGTACCTTTTCCCACAGCACAGAGAAACATATTGATGAGGAGGGCACCTACCTTTGAAGTGTTCTGAAGTGACTAAGTGGTACAGGCTGCAGATGAGTTTAGAGGTCCTTCCGTTGACATGATCACCCTCATTTCAGTGAGGATGATGGGATCCTGGAGTCACAGGCCAAGTAGAAGCACTTAACCTCCTGGGTCAAGGTGCACACTGATTTGACACACACGATTGGTTCGACCTACAGCAAACTTTGAAGGTGGCTAATTGATCAACAGATCCTTTGGACCTTGAAATAGCTGAGCATCCTCTAAAGCTGCATTTGATCATTGTAAAAATAAATGAAATATAAATAAATATTCATTTATAATAAAAATGTAAGAACATAAAATAAAAGTAAAACTCTAGATCTGGTGACTTGAGCCATCTTCATGGCAAACGATGGTCCCTTAACCAATTCCCATACCTGAGCCAGAACATAACGAGCAAACGGACTACTGAGGAAAGACCCTACAATGAAGCCACAAGTAGCTACAGTAAATCTTCTTCCTGGGCTTATGCAAAGGGACCTCCAGCCATTTACAAGTGTTACTGCGCACTTGCTTTAAAGACACTTGCTCTAAGCCAGAGCTCAACAGTCTTTTCCTGAAAATATTTTCCCTAAATATTTGAGGCTTTACAGGCCTTTCAAGTCTGTGATGGAACTATTCAAATCTGCCATTGTTGACCAAAAGCTGCCATAGACACAGCATGGCTCTGTTCCAATAAAACTTTACCTGTGGACACGGACATGTCAATTTCAAATATTTTTCATGTCTCAGGAAACATTATTTGTCTTTTGATTTTGGTTGAAAACCATTCAAATACTTAAATGCCATTCTTAGCTTGCAGGCCATACGAAAACAGGCTGTTTGCCAATCCCTGCCCTGAGCTAATGGAATCACTAGCTTCCTAAAATAGCACTGAGAAGAAAGTCAGCAGAATGAGGTGGCAGCCATCCCTATGGCTTCCAACAGGCCTAAAAGCTGATGCTTTTTAACATAGTGGTTTTCAACCTTGGTTGCACACTGCAGTCACATGAAGAGTTTAAGAACTGTGGTTGCCTAGTTTTGACCGCAAATTCTGCTTTAATTGTTGTGGGTATAGCCTGGTGTTGGTGAGTTTTTTCAGTCTCCTTAAGTTGCTCTAGTGTGTAAACAAGGTTGAGAACTACTTGAACAATTTAACTGATGAGAGTGCAAGTATTTTACAATATTTCATTTTAAAATGTTATAATTGTGATTTTGGGATAATAATATTCCAATAACAAATACATATAGTAATCTAAGAACAATAAATATATAGCTATGCTAGAAAGTATGAAATAAGGATTCCCATGTGAGAAAGGGAGAATTTCTCTTAAAGAAAAAAGGGAAATTAACAAGACAGCAAACAACAAGTGCTGGAGAGGATGTGGAGAAAGGGGAACCCTCTTACACTGTTGGTGGGAATGCAAGATACAGATGTAGTGAAAAGAAGGGCCATCTGTGCCCCAATGTTCATAGCCGCAATGGCCACAGTTGCCAAACTGTGGAAAGAGCCAAGGGGCCCTTCAACAGACGAATGGATAAAGAAGATATGGTCCATATACACAATGGAATATTATGCCTCCATCAGAAAGGATGAATACCCAACTTTTGTATCAACATGGATGGGACTGGAGGAGATTATGCTGAGTGAAATAAGTCAAGCAGAGACAGTGAATTATCATATGGTTTCACTTACTTGTGGAGCATAAGGAATAACACGGAGGACATGGGGAGATGGAGATAAGTGAATTGGGTGAAATCAGAGGAGGAGATGGACCAGGAGAGACTGTGAACTCTGAGAAACAAACTGAGGGTTTTGGAGGGGAGTGGGATGAGGGCTTGGGTGAGCCTGGTGGTGGGTAATAAGGAGGGCACGTACTGCATGGAGCACTGGGTGTGGTGCATAAACAATGAATCTTGGAACACCAAAAACACAAAATAAAATTTAAAAAAGAAGAAAGAAGGAAAGAAAGAAAGAAAGAAAGAAAGGAAGGAAGGAAGGAAGGAAGGAAGAAGGGAAAGGAAATGGGAAAACACAGTGGTAAAGCAGGGGCCACCAGCATAGGATCAAAGAGGAAACAAAACTGCTGGCAAGGCCAGAACAAAGTATAGATTAAAGCCAAGCACCTTTGAGCCCAGGGCTGACTCAGCAGGGAAGCCTCCTCTGCAGGGGATAGTCCCAACTCAGGGTAAGCATGGAAGGGACAGCACAAACAAAAATATCAAATGATTTGCACTGAGGGAATAAAACAAAATAGAAAAGGGTAAAAAAGACTGTAAGATAATATTTCCTCAGAGTGATAAAAGAGTGACAAAGGATGAAATGATATCATTATATAAGAACAGAAGACTGACCAAGAAGATGGTGATTGAACACAAGGAACTGCTTTCACTTCCTCCTGTAACTTCCTTAAAACAACCTTAAAGGTAAACAAATCGATCAATGGGATACTGCTTAGCAATGAAAAGTCAAGGGCATGGATGGATCTTTTAAAAATGCTGAGTTTAAAAAGCCAGGCACAGAGGAGTACAGGATGCGTGATTCCATTTGTATGAAATTCTAGGACAGGGAAAACTAATATAGAGAGACTGAGAGCAGATCAAGGTTTGCATGCAGCCGGAGGATGAAGAGGAGATTAGCTGGGAACCATTTGGGGTGTGGTATATGTTCCATATCTTGCTAAGGTGGCGGTTAGACCTAAGCTCCGATTATTACTTACGTATAAGGAGCTGGGATCAGGAGAAGCTGGGTGAATTGTCTAAGGTGATACTGCTTGTTAATCAGTGAGAAGATACATCTGCTTATAAACAATCGATTACTCCTATTGTGTTGCATAATGGTAAGAATAGTGCTTCCCACCGCTCCCCCACCCCCAACACCTGAAAACACCGTGACCCAGGCACAAACACCCTTTTATGCACATAAAACATCAACATGAAAGCATCACTTTTGGGCGTTCCAACCACCCATTTATAAATACGGTTGACATTCTCACATGTTCTTTTACCCTGACTTCTTTAT